CTTAAGCTTGTCCGGAGCATAACTCTTCAAACTTGGTATACATGCTTTTTTCAATAACCCGAAGTGCAGTGCACAAGGAGCAGTACTCTGCACTTCTTAATTTTTGAGTTATTGCCCTATGTTAATTTTCATACTTTAAAAAATTGCTTTCGTAAGACTTTGAAACAGACTACTAGTCTATTGATGTAAAGAGAACTTAGCTCCACAGAGCTGAATGCCTCTCATTGTAAGTTCTTTATAAAACGAATGCAACAACTGTTTATCTCTTCATTTCAGGGGACAAGGCAGGGGACCTAGAAATTGGTTTGGCATTGCGCCAGAGTCAGCCTGCTAAAGTCATTGCTCAGAAAAATGGGGAACTAGTGCTCAATTGTACTGTAGAATATAATACTGACCTTGGCGAACTGACCCTGAACTGGACAAAAGATGGAGCCCCAGTTGTGTATGACCGCCGGGTCCAGAAATTAGAAAATGGTTCATTGTTTATAAGGAGAATTATACACCGCCCAAGAAAGAATTGGACTGATGAAGGGCGGTACAAATGCTTCGGAACTATAAAGAAAGGAAGTGAAAATGTTGGACGGGTCATTGCACGGGATGTTCTCGTGCAAGCTTCAGGTAGGTCGACGCTAAAGTTTATTGCTTACCTGATGGGACTGTCTCAAAGTCAAATTACCTAGCTTAATATTAGCTAATTTAGCAAATTGTGCATACATCATTCTTGAATGAAAAAAAGAAATGCTTGCTTAATTTTTCCAATTTTCTTTGGTTTGCTGAGTAATTGTTGGGTTGTAAATTAAAATCACTGCCGTATTATTATCAGATAAGACCTGTACCGAATGTACCACATGGAGATAGGGCCGTCAGAATTTGACTTTTTGATTTCCTTTTCCGCTTTATCTGAAGCATTTCTTTTTAAAGTAAATTCTGGAAAATTTTGGCTGTGGAACATTCAACCTGGGCATTACAGACAATTAAGTTTTGCCTGCCCCTGGTAGGTCGGAATTTATTTCTCATTGACAACTATCGTAACACTGTAATGCTAACAAGGCATTGTACAAATGATCCCTTGACTAATTGGTGCTAATCTGTTGTCAAACCTGTATTGTTCTGGGTTCACGAGGTTAATTCATGATCAGCGAAGCAAAAATAGGAACATTGTATCGAAATAACCAAACATGACTACATGTGTAATGGTACACCTGAAACATTATATTGACATGGAGTTATGTGTGTCACTGTAGTATATTGTATTTGGTCTTGTTTTGTTGATTTCCGTATATTTATGTCAGTGTAACTTAAGGTTTATTATCGAAGCAAAAAATTATATTGATTGAATGAATATTTGATCAGTGCGATTGCATTGTTATGTAGAAAAAGAACAAAAGAAAATAGATGTTCCAACCGTATACTGACATCTACAGCAAATGTGTGTCATCGTTTTTTAGCTCGACTATTCGAAGAATACGAAGAGCTATCGTACTCACCAAAGAATTGGCGTCACTCTTTGGCTCATAAGTTGGCGCATTTGTATCTTCAAACTACTGACTGGAATGAATTGAAACTGTACACACTATGTTGAAGGTGCGATGACAGACTCACTCTCCAAGGCCCATAACTCTTAACATCGATGGATTTGCCTGATTTTGAGCTCAAAGTATTTAAATGCTTATCAATATTTCAGGGGCATTTTGCACGTTCAATTAAATTTATTATACTTGAAATTTCAGAAATTTTACACCCAATTTACTGGTTAACTGACCTACATGAAAAAGTTGAAAAATTCTCGGAAAAAACATTTTATGGGCCGGTCCTATCATGTCCAAAGTTTGAGTGTGTATATGAAAGGTGAAGGCTGAAGGGATTATGAATTTCTTTTGTCAGACAAGAGTCATTTGCTGATTGGATACTTTTATTGAAGCACCTTTTTCTGTAATTTTAAAGTTTTTTTTTATAAATTCAGAATCAACTTTTTAGAAAATTACGCGTCTTGCATGCTTGGCAGTTCATAAGTCTTGAATCACCATTTTTGAGTCTTGAATTAAGTTAATTATATATGCATATAAAAGTATTATTCTTATTCTTCATCATTTTTAAAAAAAAAAAAATCATATTTTTTTAACATTTTTCATTGTATCAATTAAAACTTCTGAAATTGTATACTATTTGAAAACACCATGCCTGGAGAGTCTTTCATCCACGTTCTGAGCATTAATAATATACAAATAAATTGTTTAAAGAAAAATATAAATAATTCACGATTGATCATAGTGGCACTTTGGAGAAATTCAGAATCATTAAATTTCGCTTAATTATACTTAATGGAATATATATAAATTATAGGTGTAAAATCTGCATACATTTTGGCAGTCATGTTACATGATACATAATTTTATTGGTTTAGTTTTGTTAATTATTAATAAAGGACAGGTTAAAGTACTTTATTTGTACATACACTTTACTATATAAATTTTTTAAGTTACAAATTTAGAAACGTTTTAAAATTTTTCATAAATATTTCACAACAATTTTAAAATCTGGAGGCCTTAAAATAGGCAGTAAGGCTGCTTTTAAATTATTCATTACCCGGATTCTTCTGTTAAAATCATTCCAAAACTTCATGCTTGTTTATTTTGTTTAATAACAACTATGCCTTAAATCTTCAAAATAAGAAGTTTATTGACAAAGCCCTAAATTGTTGTATGTATTATGATCCAGTCAGATAAACCTGATATTTATTAATATTTTCAACCATTATTCTACACGGCCATTATTATCGGCTTTAATCTATTCCGGCCACTCGGTGAACTTTTACCTTTATATATTACATTAAATCTTTGATTTGACTCTAGTCTTGTTTGATCTGTACCAAGTTATTGCATAAGACCCATTTATGGAGCTTTATAATGAATATAAAGGTATTGGACCAATTTCTCATGTCGTACTTATTACATATGTAATCCATTAACGGCTATTTCTGGGCTATTATTAACTGCTATAACCGTATAAATCTCCTATTACAACCCGCGCAAGGGGTTTAAACATATTTTGCTGAAATGAGAGGTTATAGATTACACAGAGTCATGTTTTTCTAATCCAAAAATGCCTGGTAAATAATTTAGTGTAGCAAGTGTGGTAATAACCATTTAAAATAAGTGTTTAGATTTTGAAAGTTCTACTAAATAAAATAAAATGATTTCTGAATGATATTATGTTAATGAATTGTACAGGTTTTTATCAGTGGAATGTCTACGAGCTGATGTCAGAGTATGTTAGGTTGTTTTTATCAAAAGGATGCTGTGGGGTTTATGTAAGTAGGAGGAGTGTTTTATTAGGTAATTTTACGGGTATTTTAGTAGTATTCTGTGCAGAGTATATTCAGCCTGACATTTTTAAAGACACAAATAATTTGAGGGTTTGTTTGCTAAAAAGTAGGTGTTTTGGTTCTGACAAAGTGTTAAATGTAATAATATGTGTACAGGTTTTGGAATGAGAGAGTTTTTTTTTAGAGGTAATTGCTGTACAGAGGTGTTTTTATACAGAGGTAATTGCTGTACAGGGGTGTTTTTATATAGAGGTAATTGCTGTACAGAGGTGTTTTTATATAGAGGTAATTGCTGTACAGAGGTGTTTTTATGTAGAGGTAATTGCTGTACAGAGGTGTTTTTATACAGAGGTAATTGCTGTACAGAGGTGTTTTTATATAGAGGTAATTGCTGTACAGAGGTGTTTTTATGTAGAGGTAATTGCTGTACAGGGTTGTTTTTATACAGAGGTAATTGCTGTACAGAGGTGTTTTTATACAGAGGTAATTGCTGTACAGAGGTGTTTTCATATAGAGGTAATTGCTGTACAGAGGTGTTTTTATGTAGAGGTAATTGCTGTACAGAGGTGTTTTTATGTAGGGGTAATTGCTGCACAGAGGTGTTTTCATATAAAGGTAATTGCTGTACAGAGGTGTTTTTATGTAGAGAGTCTTCATAGATTTAAAGCGTACTCATGATTAGTCTTTGAATACATTAATGTTTGCGATTGGGGTTAGAATATCTGTCCTAGAGGCAGGTTTCCGAGGGGGATATATTTCAATCTGAACTGCAAACACTTCAGATAAATTTTCTTGTATATTCTACAATATTCTATCATATTTTCAATTGTTTACCCCAATGAAACTATTTTTCATATTAACTAATGTCATTTCATTAAGTTTTTTCTTACCATAAGGTATTAATTTAAAACTTCATTCATGACAGTGTTATAACGTCATCCTAGGCATGAACGCAGTTTCATTCTTAGTTAAGCGGAAATGATGTCATTTTAATGCGGTTCATTTATAAAATGCACTAAAATGACACCTTTGTATAGCACACAACTCATCTGACACCCTCAATGCCAGATGACATTTCTGGCATGAATAAAACTAACGGAAACAACTAAGTAAGAATTGTTTCTTTTTCATGAACATATGAGATTTATTTACACTATAAAATATAATATATATCATACATTCACTTGAAATAAAAAGTTATTGTCCACCTTTAATAGTGCTAACTGACCGCTGGTTTACACTGTTGACCATAGTATTATTATGTTTACTGTCCGACAGGTCACTCACCTAGATCTCGTGAGGTTCCATTAGGGGAGAGCCATTGATTTTGAAGACTTTGAACATAATTATATATTAGTCCTTCTGTTTCTCTATTTTGTTGTTATTGCCGTTCTGCCTTTGAAACTTTAAAGCAGCACGCCTCCAGATTCATGCTAATTTTCGTGAAAATTTTTAAAATGTATTAATTTTGAATGTGTAATATTGTTAAGTAACCAAAAGGAAGCTTTGTTTGTTTGTTTGTTTGTTTCATTTTACGCATTTTCCCAACAGTATTTCAGTCATATAGGTGGGTAGTTTCATAACCATCGTTCCTGGAGAGTTACCAAAAGGAAGCAGTTTACACATTATCAATGGCACTACCATGTAAATTACCAAAACGTTGTCGAAATATTCATAAATAGCCTTTACTGCGTTAGTTACAACGCAGTAGAAATATGGTGATAAAATACTGCAAAGTCAGTGTTAAACCGAACATAGCATGTTAAATATATCTTAGATCTTTAATGTTTTTGGTTTTCTTAAAAATTTAGTGCATTTTTCTCAATATTGATTTTCCTGAACTATTTTGGATCATCTGGAGGCGTGCAGCTTTAACCCTAATAGTAAATACCCCGATAAATGTTTGAAGTTTCAATCGTGACTTAAACCTGAACCAAACAGACCATTTTATATATTGAACAAAACTAAAAAAAAATATCCTACTCATGCAACAGTTACTAGTGTAATTACCAAGATCAGATTGGTCTGCACTGTTCACACAGCGCATATTTGGAAAAAATTTCAAAAATATTTGGAAATATAAAAACACATCAATGTTAGATATTCAGGATTGTGGGGATTTAGTTCATTATAAAACACTCCACCCCCCCCCCCCCCACTCCCCCATCCCGGCCTCTACTACAAGAGATTAACTTTATACTGTCAACAATCTTTTCAATTTTAATTTTATTTAACCTTGAACAGGTTTTTAATCTGGAATACCATGTAATTAAGTGTGTACTCTTAGATTTAT